ACCATATATTTTCGTAAACTAGAAAATGTACATATATTTTTACATTATTACTATGTAAAGAGTTTCTAAAATATTTTATGTTCTCAAATCTTTCAATGCAAAAGTAATTCCTCCTTTCAACTATTCTCTAATACACAGAATGTTGATATGGATACATAACTAAACATTCATTGATATAATATCTTGATTCTTTACATCCTTTGTCTTAATACAATACTTTACATAATCAGTTACATTTTTAGATAATATCATTCACATATAAAAACGCATATATTTAATTTCAACAATAATTTTGAAAAACATTACTTTAATTTTCAAATTATTCTTATTCAGTTCAATACATTGTAATTTCTGATATTATATTACAACAAAATAATACAATCAGTTGCATTATTTAGATTATGTGTATTATTATATAATGTATAATACATACATACATACATACATTTATATTATTTTATGTAATAATTACTACATAAATAATATAATAATACAACAGAAAACGTGTACTTACAGTATTATTCTCTTGGCGTTCTGTAATTAATTCAGTTATATTCGCTAATTGATATCCAATATAATTAAGCCGATATATTTATTGTAATTACGTTGATTTTAATCTATGTAGTTTACATTTTTATTATATTAAACTAAACTAGATAAATAAAATCAATAACAAGACAGGCTCTTCACGTTCATCACTTGTAACGGTCGTATCGATGTGACAATAAACTATACAGCAATTTCACCTTGTACAGTGTTCGCGCCAAATTCAAAAAGTAGTCAATGTATTGGATAAAAATATTTTATTACACGTTACTTAAAAAACAAAAAAAAAAGAAGAAAAAAATAAATTTAATGTATAAAAATAGAAAGGAAAAACACCAAATACAAATATAATCTCGAAAGTGCACAGTTTTCAATGATATTACTAAAAAGAAGAAACTTTTCGGACTTATATTAATTGAATATAATTTTTATGTTTTTATGATATTTGTATGTTAATCCTAGAAATCTGGAGAAAATAAAATAAATATAAAATTACAAAAACAAAGAAAAAATAGTGAAAAATGCTATTAACTTCATGTAATAACTAATAGTAAGATTATGATAAGTAAGCAGTTAGAATATATAACGTATGAGCTTTTCACACAAGTATCTTCATTTTTTATAATTTTATTTGGATAATTTGTAAAACTTGTAAATTATTTGTAGATTTAAAACATAACTTCACTGATGTAACGGAATATTTCTAAAGCTGTTAAGAATGCGGAATAATGTTTCAGAAAAAAGTTTGATGGGTTAAGTGGCTATATAATCCGATGTAGGTAAATTTTTCCTAGGTGGGCGCGCGTAACACATATAAAGGGCAACTTTATTTTTTTAAATGAAAGTACATATTTTTAGATGTACCAATCAATGTAACTTGTTATGTTGTAATGTACTTGTAATGTACTTTTTTATATAAAAGTATTAAGTCATTTATCATAAAAAATCATTAGTTTAGAAGATATTCTAAAAACTATAAATCATACTGATTTTTTAGAGAATTCTGAATTATTTAGAAATTGTTTATAATGAAGAATCAGTGATCCTACTCCTAAATCATAAAAATATTATAAATCTGTATATGTAGATTTTCTTAATTATGTATCAAATAATATGTATGTGGGTTAAAGTCAGGAGATGGTTATAAAATGATTTTGTTTATAATAAATTTGTATTATTTTGACTTTAATTAAGGAAATAACAAATATTTGTACTTGCTCCTTTAAAAATTACGAAGATTGTTTCTTATTATTAGACATGCATTCATACTATATTAATGGAATAGAGTCTAGTGATTCAACTTAGAATTTTATTTTACAATGTGATAAATTTTGATGTTCCTGAAATATAAAACTACTTTAAATTACTGTACTTTGAAAACAGTAATTTACCAGTGTTATATTTATTTTTATAATGTTATTTTACTAAAGTATAATTTTTACTCATTAATAAAACATGCATGATGACGCATCTTTTCCAATTCACTATTTTATGATAGTTATTTTGTTAATATAACAAACAGTTAGTATTGGTATCTATTACTTAAAATGTCCTTACTAGAAAAATGTTATGAATTTTATTATATTTAAAAAATATAAATATAATATGTAAAACAGATGGATATAACAATGTTTATGTATTTCAAGATTCAATACTAATCACCCAAAAGTAAATTTATGTAACATAATATAAAATTACATAATAACATTATAACGTGATATCATATAACATAAAATAATGCATATATTATCAGCTATACATATGTATTATACTGATTGTAAAAAATAGGAATGCTTCCTTTCATCAATGTGAAATTGTAATAAAAGACATTCGTAACCTTCATTAACAACTAATTTGCTGAACTAGAAAATACCTATATTTAAATATTTTGCAAGGAAAAACTATGAGTAACATAATTATATATATATAAATATAGAAAGTAACATTAAACATTAAAATTCTGAAATATTAAACACATGTTAAGTTTCAAAAAATGGATGCTAGTGAAAAGCTTTTATAGGTAATGAATGTAATTTTCTGAATTGACTATATGTTTTTATGTAAATGAAAATCAAGATAATGTAGGACTCATATAAGAAATATGATATGTTAAGTCTTTAATTATAATAATATCAAACAATGCATATAAAAATGGTATTATTGAAATAGGTAATATTGATTACTAACCTAAAATTAAGTGAAATTTTAGAATATTAAATAATTTTATTGATTATTATAACAAACAATTAATATTATGTTCAACAGTGATAGTATACTATGTGAAACAATAAATAGATTATTGTGCTATTTTATTTATTTGTGAATAGTAGTTTCTCAAATTCCAATTATTTGTTTAATTACTAATTATTATTTATTTTCAAGTACCTTAGTAGTTCAAGATTTTATGTGTAATACAAAGCTTAAAAAATTAAAATTTATTAAAGGTTATAAAGAAAGTAAATATTTATACTTATTTCTTTTTAAAACCAATTGCAAATTTCATAGACACATACAATACTTTATATTTATACCTTACTTTTCTATATAGAATTATCTTGATATTTTCAAATGTAAGAAAAAAGTATTTAATTTAATTTAATTAGCATCAGATAAAAGCAGTTTTAAGAGCTGATTTTACAAACTGTATAAATTAAAACAAAGGTAAAAAAATAACAACTTGCGTTTGTGACATTACTTATTCAATTTCATAAATATTACAAAATCGAATAACATTTTTTTTTAGGAATCTTTAAGAGTCTTTAAGAATCACAGTCCTCGCTGATAGGAGTAAAAAAATGTATAATTAAAATAGGTTCTATGTATAATAAATCTTTTCTACGTAAAATTGATTTTTATTTATAAACATTTAATATTGCGAGTTTTTAGTATTTAATATAATACAAGTTTATTAATTTAAAATTGTTTCAATCACCTATCTCGAATTTTTTAAATTTGCAGACTCATTTAAAAATCTTAATCTGTTTACCTCACATATATAATTGCATAATTATAACAATGAATAGAAAGTGTTTGTCATAGAATACGAGATTTGGAAGAAATATTCGAGGATATCGCTCTATTATTCCTAGATATGAATTTTGCATTGGAACGACATACTGACATTCATTATGACTGTTAAGCCTTGGAATGTCGTTCCGGTATTTCGTTCGGCCCTTTGTTTAGAATAGACCATGTGAAGGCTCTGTAGTCTCACAAGTACCAGTGAGGCGGCCCTAGAACCGCAATGGCCCAAGTAGAAGGCTGTTTATATCCTTACTGTCAGCGCCCCTTTGATTTCTTTAGCATCTAAGCCACTACTTAGGTAATCCGTAACAAACAACTATATATCACCCTTCAAGACGACAAGCACAATTATCTAGATTGTTTAAACAATCACCACCACCGAAGGACGCTGAAGTTAACATACACCCCCAACATCATACCAACCAAACAGCAGACAGTCGAACATTATATAACCACCGAGAGATCAGGAAGATGAGATTAGTCAGTCAATATCATTCGAACAGTTCAGAAGAGTTATCCGAAACTACTACGTAAAATACAGTCCGCTATAACCACAACCTTCCTCAAGAAATTTGGTTCGTCATTAACCGTCGCCAATTGAGGATGACCTATTGACGATATACATGGTCATTGAGGAAGAAGAGCCGATGACAAGGAGGAAGGTACAATTCAATTTGATGAATGGATTAAATTTAGTGGTCGGCAGAAGTCATTTTCTTTTCCCGAGACAGGCGATTTCATTAGACAATATGATGTGCTTGAGCTGTTCGTTGATGATGAAAAACAGGCTTGCTTGCATCAGAAACAAAAAGATATGCGCAACAAAAGAATAAATCTGCGTTAACACCATGTTCATGGATGCAAAAGTGAACACCAACTAAACCGAAGAAGTAAACAAAATTTTTTGGGCTGATTTTATATATGGGATTTGTAAAAGAAAACCTCATGGATAATTATTGGTCGAAAAGCCCATTGTATATTTTTCAATTACCGCGTACTATTATGTCACGAAACGGATTCGAGTTACTACCGAGTAACTTTCATTTTGCCGATGATATCTCCATTGCCCGTAATGATCAACTTGGAAAAATACTTTCAATTTTTGACAAACTGGAAAGGAAGTATCAAAAAATATTCACGTCTGGGAAATACGTTGCTATCGATGAAACGTTGATTCCATGGCGCGGAAGACTAATCTTCAAAAAATATATACCGAATAAAGCACATAAATACGGAATCAAATTATTTAACTTATGCTCAAGCGAAAGATATACGTGGTCAATGAAAATTTACTCTGGAAAGTCAGCTGACGGGATTAGAGAAACGGGATAGGCACACAACGTATGTCTACAACTTGCAGATAAACTTTTCCATCAAGCACGAACATTGTACATATATAATTTTTATACCAGCTATGAATTATCTATATCATGTCTGAACCGAAAAACTCATATATAGTTGGAACACTTGAAAATAACAAAAAATTTATTCCAAAAGATATTCTTCATTGCAAATTAAAAAAAGGGAAAATGGTATGCACAGAAAATAATACTGGTATTGTCGTACTCAAATGGAAAGATTCGCGGGACGTGAGAATTTTATCAACAAAGCATGTTCCCATCATGGTACCGAGTACAAGTAATATTCCTCACATTCATGCTGCTTCTACAAGCCAACATTTATCTGAAAAATTGAAACCACTAGCTGTTCTTGCATACGATAAAAGGAAGTGTGGCATAAATTATTCCGATCAGATGGTGTCTTATGCCAGTAGAATGAGAAAAGGACTGAAATGGTACCGAAAACTTGGTATTCAGCTTCTTCTGGGAGTTACAGTTATAAACGCTTCAGTCGTTTACAAGACTGTAACAAAAAAAATATAAATATTAGAAAATTTAGAGAGTTATTAGCTCTGAAATTATTAGGACTGACTGATAAGGAAACTAAATCTGCAGGTCAACGTAGTCAGAATAATTAATATTGCCATCCGAAAAAATTCTTCTGGGCAAAGCATTAGACGGGCTTGCAAAATATGCTACAAAAATAAAAGACTCCATACGGACCGATCAAAGGCACGAGCAAATATTTAAAAAACCACAACTTTTTGCCCAGATTGCCCTGATCAACCTCAACTTATATTGTAGAGACATGGATGTTTGTTAAATAATATAAAACTGTTTATTGATGATAAAATAATAATACAATGTGCGGTTACGGTAAAGACTACGAATATAGATATATCAACTAAATTCTTACAACTACAACTAACAACACAATTATAACATCACTGACCCAGCATAACTGTCTCTCAAGAATCGTCCCCTAACCATTTCTGCCTTCTTTATATATTCCCTAAAAGCCTCCCCCAATATGACCAAATATGGTCATGCTAAGGGCCTGACCCATCGCCGGGGTTTTTCAGAACGACCTGGCCCTCGAACCCTCGGCAACTTTCCAAACCAAAGTCACCTACACATGAGGTGGGAATTCTGCGATACTACAATTTGGACTGTTTTAAAACATTCCATTGAAATAATTTTTTGTAATAAACGTTTATGACAATTCAATCGTCTCATATTTCGTGAAATAACTTTCGAAATACCTACCAATTTACATTGTAAGCACTCAAATAAGCGTCACCCGGTACGAGTGAAGCGGCCTAATCAGGATTTTTGACGTCACCCGAAATCTACCAATGTGCAAAATTTAAACTAAAACAGTGATTCGAAGGCTTGCACTTTCCTTGTTAGATGGATAGACCATCAATACACCAGCATTGATGGTACAACCGAGGAAAGGGTGATTCTACGTGAAAAAACAAATCGAAAGTAAAGAATAAAATTAGTTCATTTGAAGCTTTGCTGTCAAGAAAATCGAATTTGAATATCCATCGAATATATTGATACTATTGATGATCCATCCGCCTTAGCCGAAGTTAAGTGCACGCGTATTCGAGTGAATATTCAAATTCGATTATCTCGACAACGAAACTTTGAATGAAAAAATTTGATCCTTCATTTTCGATCTGTTCTTTCATGTAGAATCAATCCCTTCCCGATTGTACTATCGATACTGCTGTATTGTTGATTTATCGATATAAGCCATAGCCAAGTGTG